GGGCACCTGAGGAACGCGCCGTCTGGCCGGGGCTCCTGCAGTACCTGGGTGCCTGGCCCGGGCTCCTGAGGACCTGGACGCCTGGCCCGGGCTCCTGAGGACCTGGACGCTTGGCCCGGGCTCCTGCAGTACCTGGATGCCTGGCCCAGGCTCCTGAGGACCTGGATGCCTGGCCTGGGTTCCTGCAATACCTGGATGCCTGGCCTGGGCTCCTGAGGACCTGGAAACCTGACTGGGCTCCTGCAGTACTGGGCCCTGGACTTCTCCCTAGCAGTTTGCTTTGGCTGCTGTGGGCACAGTGAAGAGGGGGGTGTGGGGCGGCAGCTCTTTGGGTGAGCATCTGTCTTGGGCTTTGTGAACCCAGTAGCACCTTGCTGGACCCCAAAGTGCACGCAGAGCAGGCCTTTGGTTACACGGCCTCAGAGAGCGTTTTTCCTGACCGTGTAGCAGTTAGAGGCAGTCAGGTTCCTGGGTTTGGCTGGGACTACCCGGCTCTTCCACATCTTTGTCTTCAGTTTAGGTGGGAGTTTGAGGCTCAGCACCTATGTTGGGCCAGGAGGTTTATGGCCTCGCCCCGTCCACTCCCTCTGCCCCCACCTCGCCCAACCAAAGATGGCGCCCAAAGCACAAGTCCTGTTAGTGGCCTATGAGCTCCGCGTCAGCAGGCTGTGCTGCTCCTGCTTGGCTGCCCTGTCGGACCTCCGACCTCCTTTCTTTTCTTCAGGGCTCAGTGGTACCTCCTGGTAGTACCTGCTCAAATTGTCCGAGTATTTCAGAGTGGAGGGCACTTAGGAGTTTCTGATCTGCTAGAAACTGAAGGCTCTGGTTATAGTTTGGCATTTTTCCCCCTAAATTAAGGAGAAAAAGAGGGAGCCCAAACCTAGGGAAGAGCCGGGGCCCAGCCTCTCCGCATGTGTGCTCCCACAGGATGCTGAGCCTCGGCGTTTGACTTCTGCTTTGGCTCTGTGGCCTTCGTCCTCTCGGTCTCTCTTCTCAGTGTGTGTCTTGTTCCCAGCGATGAAGTATTTACCAAACAGCCTGCTGCAGCCTTCCCCGCAAGGCTGGCCCCAGCTATGTGTGCTGTGAGCGCCTCGGCCGCGCTGGCCCTCAGTGCTGCCGTGACCTGCTGTGGAGAGGCTGGTTTTACCGTTTCCCAGCAGCTCCAGAAACAAGCAGAACCTTCCAGTCTGACTGGCCACTCTGGAAAGCTGCCCTGCAGAGGTCACACTGCACAGCGTCCTTCCGTGGGCGTCGGCAGGTGTGGCCCGTGACAGGGAGTGCGGAGCACCTGTGCCCTCAGTGTGGGGCGCTCACCACAGCTGTGATGGCTGCGATCCGATGCTGTTAATTATGTCTGGAGAGTGTTACGAGGGGTTGTCGGAAGAGAAAAGCAAGGCTGAAAGTGGGCCTCTGGGGGCCAGCAGGTGGTGTGATTAAGGTGCTGGATTCCCACATGGTCAACCAGGGTTCCAGTCCTGGACCTGGTGGCTTGTTTCTCACTTTCCCTCTTTGTCTCTCTGGTCAAATTAAAATAAAAATGAATGAATACATAAATAATTCTTAAAAAAAAAAAAAGAAAGAAAGAAAGTGGGTCTCTGGTCATTCTGCTTCTGTAAAGCAGTGCTGGTCCCACTGGCGACTGTGACCATGTGTGCATGTGCACATGTGTGCAGGGATGCAGAGGAGGAGATGGGAAGCTGGGGCCAGGAGATGGGGTGTGGGTGGGAGAGCTGGACAGAGCAGAGGATAGTGGAGGGCGGGGGACACTGAGCAGAGTAAGGAGGGGGCACTGCCCAGAAACCCACGCACAGCTGCCACGTTGTCCGCAGAGGAAATGAGCGGCAGCATGAGCCACTGAGCTGAGCCTTCCCACGCCAGGGAGGGGAGCGCGACACCTCAGCCTCAGGCCTTCACAGACGGCACAGTCCCTCGCTCAGTTGGTCTGCAGCCTGGCTGGCGAGGAAGGCATCCCTGTGTTTGTTGTTGGACAGGCATGGGGACCTGCTGTTCCTGTTCCCCTCGAGCCTCGCTGGACCCTCGTCGGAAATGGAGACGTCTGTCCCGCCAGGGTTAAAGGCCGTGGGCGCACCCAGCGCTGTGGAAGATGAGATCGACCAGTACCTCAGCAGACAGGACGGGAAGATTTATAGAAGCCGGGACCCCCAGCTGTAAGTGTCCTGGACCCCGCTGGGGCTCCGTAGTCCTGCATGTGCTGATCCTGGCGGGTCCATCGAGGAAGATGTCTGTGGCGTGTCCTGTGTAACACATACCAGAGGAAAGAACATGAGTGGGGCTGACTATTTCAGATTAAGATTCACTCCAGTTTTTTATCTTGTTAGCTTTTTTTTTTTTAATTTCTGTTTTTTTAGGTTATTTTTATTTAACTTTATTTATTATTATCATTTTTTAATTTGACCAGAGAGACAGAAAAAGTAAGAAAGCAAGCCGCCAGGTCCGGGATGTGAACCGCGGTCAGCCGTGTGGGAGTCCAGTACCTTTACCACCACACCATCTGCTGGCCTTTCATGTTAGCTGTTTTTTTTTTTTTTTTTTATAAATTTAAACCTCAATTATGTTCCGACTAGATGGTTTTTATGTGTT